GGGGGAAGTTACTTTACAAATAAAGTAGGTGCTTCCTATTTTCTAGATATTTACCATGGAAATCGTGTGCTCGTGCACAGGGGGGAGGGGGATGATAGTTGCTTCGCGTAGAAGATTTAACACATTTACATAGGAAGAGGGGGTGCAGAATAGTACTTAATATCATACACGCATACACTTCGCAACATTCAGTACTTTACAAACAAAGTAAGTGTTTCCCATTTTTGATTTTCTAGATATATACCGGAAAGACATATTATTGTATTATACGAAATTAGACTTTTAGGTCTAAATATTTCAGAAACTATAAGAGACCGCCGCCTAGTTGTTGAGGCAAAGTTGCTCAGAATCATGACCTTGACAACATATGTCAAGGTCAAGGTCATCGGAGCTGGTTCCCCTATAGTGCATAATTACCATTTATTTCTTTGGATAAAATCATATTCATGAATACTCTTCTTAAAAAGCATCATTCTACCATAATTGCAAAACATAATAAAATATATTATATCTCGTCTCTATATATACGTGATATATTTACTATATATAAAACTTTGTATTATTTATATATCGTGTGGATATCATTTTTGACCACATTGCGATTGAATATAAGTCATTCACAGCACTAAAGCAATGGAAAACTTCTACCACTTGTCGCTGTGAGTGATTGTGTTCAAACTTAACGTGGTCAATCGACTTCCTTAAGAATCCTTCTTGTACTTCTAGTATGTTTGTCTTATCTATATAATATTTATTTGTTGCTACTAATATCACAGGAAAATAATCATTTCAGATAGAGAACGAAATCTTAACAGTACAATATATGTATGTTTTAAAATGAACATATAGATATTTATTTTTTGTAAAACATACTACAATAATATAAAAACAAGAATTAACTTCTTTGAATAAAATTACGAAATTAAAAAATAAAAACATACTGCAATAATATGTAACGGAAAACAAGAATTAACTTCTTTAAATAAAATTACGAAATTAAAAAATAAAAAACTATTTACTCTGATTGTGAGTCAGATTCCAGCTCTAGCATAATGGTATTAATCTTGGCACGAGCAATTTTTTGTTTCTTCTTCGACATGTTTTTTAATTGACTGTATGTAGTCATGCAAAAGTTATAGGCAATATCATTGCACTTATCATTAGAGTCACATAATCCTTTCACACTCTGTAGTGCTTCAGAAACAGCTTGAAGAGCATTATCTTCGGCACATACAGCGGTTTGTTTTTTTTTAGTGTGTGTATATGTTTTACTGAGAACTGAAGTCTTGACATTCAATAAACTAGCATTATTTTCATCCGACGATTCTACTTTTACTTTCAATAAATCTCCTTTCATTTCTTCGAATTCATTTTTCATTTGCGTTTCAAGTTCTTCTTCATTACTATTTAAAATTTTCAAATATTCATCAAAATCTGGATCAGTCTCTAGCGTATCCCATGTAGAGGAATCTTGACAAGGTGACAAGCTTCTTTTCAATACATTCCCACGTGTTCTGGAATAATTGTAAAATATTTTTTCGTGTGCATTTTTATCGTATATAGTGTGTATAATGTATAGTTTATATAGTGTATATAATGTTTAATATATGTATGTACTTTCTGATAGAGTGTATACTACCTTAAGAAATGTATAGATGCAGACAAAAGCTTCTATTTACATCTATACGTTTCTGTTAGGTATTATAACTAAAAGGATGAGTCAATTTTCAGCAGATTGTAATGCAAAGGCATGTAAAGTAAATATATAATGTAATATATTTTGTGAAACTGGACAATAAATTATAATACGTACCTTCTGCTTTGAATATGAGGTTCTAAGAATTGAAGAGATTTATATAGATTGCTAGGAGTTAGATGTTTTAATCCTGAGCCAGATGGAAGCCCTGCTTTTAAAGATCGTCTTTCACGAATGAAACGCTCTCGTAATTGGCTCCATCGGTGCTCACAGTCAGCAACTACATTATAATATATATATATATATATATATGATTTACGCGTTATATGTATGTGATTGCATATATTACTATACCATAGTTGGTGTATAACCATAACATATATATATTATGAAACCACAGTTGTATACATTACTATAGAACTTAATAAATTAATAAAATTCATAATGCATACACACCTGTTGCATTCAACATTTTTGCAATACTACACCAAGAATTTTGGCATTTTATTTTATCTTTATAATCGGGATTATTCTTATCATATAGATGAGAACATTTTTCGATTAATTCAATTAAACGCTGATCTGTGGAGTCCATTGTTATTAAATATAATATACCTATATAATATATATATTTTTTGTTCACAGCGTGTCGTCCAAATGTGAGAAGAGGTATACGATTTGCAGATTCGTCGTTCGTCCTAACCTCTTTCCATAACCAACACCAGCGTGATAGCCAAAGGCGTAAAAGTTCAAATAAACCAACTTTTACGTTTACGCTTATGTACGGACCCTATTGTAGACGCGCCTTTATGCATTTCATGTGCGATAGGCCTAAGGCGAGAAACACACACTTTTACATAACGCATAAACCATATACATAAAAAATTTGATTGGTCCATTGACTCATGCATAAGAAAATGGGCCAATGAAATTCCTAATGCACATGCTTTATGCGGTATGCAAAAGTGTGTGTTGGGGCTCTTAGGCCTATCGCACATGAAATGCATAACTGTGCATAAGCATAACGTAAAGCGGGGAGCACAGACTTTTGCATAACGCATAAACCATATACATAAAGAATTTGATTGGTCCATTGACTCATGCATAAGAAAATGGACCAATGAAATTCCTTATGCACATGCTTTATGCGTTATGCAAAAGTCTGTGCTCCCCGTTTAAGGCCGCTGGACCAATGAGTATCTTATGTTAATCAATATGGCGTCTTTATGCTGGATGCTCATTGGTCTAGCGGCCTTATGTCATGACATGAGACTTATGCACAGTTATGCATTTCATGTGCGATAGGCCTCAAACGTAGTCCGTGTCTTCAAATTGAAAGCGCTGATGTCGTATCGATATAAACGTTTGCGATTCTCGAAATGAATACTTGAATATTTCCGCGGTGAATTGAAGGAGGAGAATCACTATCTAATTTATGAATTGAATCACATTTGTCCGAGTATCTTGCTGTCCATCCTGCCGCAACTAGAGTGTAAATTAAAATCTTCCTCTGAGAATAAAAGATTGGGCGCTGTGGCGTTGCTAGCAAGAATGTTTTCTTAAAAGTGCACACAATTAGCTGTACAGCATACATAGTTTTGCACAGCGTTTTTTGGGACGCTTTTAACGATATTAGCGTGTCCATTCGTATTAAGTGTATGCAGTATTCAATGCATTTTTTTGCTAAATCATCCTGAATTGAGAAAGGATATCACAGATACTTTGAAACTAAGACAACACGATGCTGATGAAAGTGTCCACTATGAAGTCGTTGTGGTTATCGTGACGACTGCCAGACGAGACTTTAAAGTTGTGTCAGATAGTGAGGATTTGCTCGAATTTGTCAAAGAAAGGACTTTGGATAAAAAGGTAGAATATTAAAGTTAATTTGTTTGAATTGTAGTGCTGTAGTTTATAATGGTTTCTTGTACATAATATGATCTTTACTTATGCAGATATTTAATTACCAGTGAAGGAATATAGTGAGCAAAATTCCGAAATTATTGACGGAGATTGGTGCAGAGAGAATCAATTACCCGAAGAGACACGATGCAGATTGGAAGGTTCGAAGTGCATGGTGCGTTGGTTATTAGGATTGAAAACTGACGTACTGTCAGTACAAAAGACGTTCAGAATGTTGAATGCTTTCATGGTGAACAAAGGTTACTTGTTGTCTCAAGGACGCTTGAGGAAAGCTGAAATGAGTTGGTTAAGATTACAAGCTGGTTACTCAATGTTAAAAATATGTGAACGGAAAGGTGTGGGTGATCAATTCACTGCAGAAGAATTTTATATAAATATACAGGCTGTTTACAAAAAAGTATTCAGGATTCATATGGTAAGATAGTACCTACATACTATACTAAGTAAGAAAGTATTAAATTACAGCAGTTTTCAAGTTTATAATACTTTCTTGTACACGATATGATCTTTACTTATGCAGATATTTAATTACTAGTGAAGGAAAATAGTGAGCAAAATTCTGAAATTATTGACGGAGACTGGTGCAGAGAGGATCAATTACCCGAAGAGACACGATGCAGATTGGAAGGTTTGAAGTGCATGGCGCATTGGTTATTAGGATTGAAAACTGATGTACTGTCAGTATAAAAGACGTTCAGAACGTTAAATGCTTTCATGGTGAACAAAGGTTACTTATTGTCTCACAGGGACGCTTGAGAAAAGCTGAAATGAGTTGGTTAAGATTACAAGTTGGTTACTCAATGTTAAAAATATGCGAACGGAAAGGTATGGGTGATCAATTCACTGCAGAACATATAAATATACAGGCTGTTTTCAAAAAAATATTTAGGATTTATATGGTAAGATAGTACCTACATACTATACTAAGTAAGAAAATCTTATAGATCAAAAATTGATTTTCAGAGATAAACAATTTTATACGTTAATATTTTACTAGGTTTTAAGAATTACTAGTGTAGGAAAATAGTGAGCAAAATTCCGAAATTATTGACGGAGATTGGTGCAGAGAGGATCAATTACCCGAAGAGACACGATGCAGATTGGAAGGTTTGAAGTGCATGGCGCGTTGGTTATTAGGATTGAAAACTGATGTACTGTCAGTACAAAAGACGTTCAGAATGTTGAATGCTTTCATGGTGAACAAAAGTTACTTGTTGTCTCACACACAGGGACGCTTGAGGAAAGCTGAAATGAGTTGGTTAAGATAACAAGCTATTACAAGCTGGTTACTCAATGTTAAAAATACGCGAACGGAAAGGTGTGGGTGATCAATTCACTGCAGATTTTGTATAAATATACAGGCTGTTTACAAAAAAGTATTCAGGATTTATATGGTAAGATAGTGCCTACATACTATACTAAGTGTAGCGATGCGCTTAGCGTATATGGTTACGTCTACCCGCTACTGGTAGATGTAAGATGAGTCACCGACCGGCCGTCGCTGTCGGCCTCTGTCGGTGCGGCGCCAGGGATCGCAATAGAGAGGTTGAAGTCGTGACTCTGTATATAATTTATGTACAAGGTTTATTACAGCTATGTACAGTTATATACACTGTGGTGGACTTTGGTATTTTGTGGTGGCCCTGAAAGGGGCCGTTTGGTTTTCCCCCTCACTTAGAGGGACTGCGCTCTTTGTATGTGAGCGGCGGCTGCGTGCTTGTCCACTGGGTGGTTCGACGCTTCTCGGTGACTCGTTCTCGGTAGATGAGCGAGGGCTGCGTCAGAGTCTTCTTTTCCGGGCCCCAGTAGTTACCGTTGATGTCCTCGGATTTACGGTTCGTCGTTTCCGGGTTGGGGGCCTCCCACTCTGAACCAGAGGACAGCTCTTGTTGCCTCGCTGGTGGAGGCGCCTGTTGGTACCTCGGCGAGGTGTACCGGCGTACCCGCAGGTCCCACGAGTGTAGGCAATACCTCGGTGGCCTGGTCCTAGCAGGTGTCGGGATGTCTAGCCGCTCTAGCTTCCAGGTGGCAAGCTGGAGGGTCACCTTTCGCGCCGCCGTCGATTGCGGTCTTTGCGGAGCGGCCGGCGGCGTCGGGGGAGGCGTCGGCAGTGTCGGCGACCCTGGCGGAGGCTGCGGTGAATGCCCCCTTTAATGTTGCCGCCTTGGCTGGCGCCGGAACAGTCCTGTGGCCTCTACCGGCCGGATTCTGGGGGCCGTCGCTTGTAGTTGGCGGCGGCGCAGGAGCTGCTGGCGCAGACGCTGGATAAGCGAGGTCCCTCTCTGGCGGGCTAGTGGCTGCGGCGGTTGCTGCTGCGGAGGCTGTGATGGCCTCTGCTGTGGAGGCTGCACTGGCTGCTGCGGCTGCGGCGGCTGCTGCTGCGGAGGCTGCGGCGTCTGCCGCGGCGGAGGCTGCGGTGGCTGCTGCGGATGAGGCTGCGGTGGCGGCTGTAGCTGCAATGGCTGCGCTTTATCAAGAGACCGTAGCTGAGGTAAAAACTGCTGGGAGGTATAGCCCTGCATGCCGCAGCTCGGTGCCGGTTGATCGGTTCGGCGCCTTATCTATAAGGGCCCTGGACCGATTCTTCGCACGCGATAACATTATCGGCGCTAGCGCTCTGGTGGGCGTACCGCGGTAGTTGCGCGTCGCGCAGTACTTGAGCGCGGTCGCGTGCTACGGGCGCTTGTATGGTCGAGTGCTACAGGCGCTTGGATGTTCCCACCGAGCGCTTGACGAAAGGTAGCTGCTCGGTGGGTTTTCGTTAGTGCGACTGATAAGAGTCGCCACACTAAGTAAGAAAGTCTTATAGATCAAAAATTGAATTGTTTTTCAGACCACCAAGTGGTTTAGTTCTTTTTTAAAAAAATTATATCACAATTAATTCAAACACATTTATTCCGACAATAATAAATTACCATGAAAAGTAACTGATATATTATTAAAGGTGCCAGTTCAAAGTGAACATACAAAAAGAGTGTACATTATTCAAATTTAATAATATATTACCATGAAAAGTAACTGATAACTGTATATTATTCAAGGTGCAAGTTCAAAATGAATTAATTCAAACACATTTATTCTTCCAATAATAAATTACCATGAAAAGTAACTGGTATATTACTAAAGGTGCCAGTTCAAAGTGAACATACAGGAAGAGTGTATATTATCCAAATTTAATATATTACCATGAAAAGTAACTGATATATTATTCAAGGTGCAAGTTCAAAATGAACATACATACATATATGTAAGTAAAACATTACAATTTGCAGTTTAGTTTAAAGGAGCACAGGAAATAAGAGATGATGTATAGCGGAATATAAGGTCACCAAAATAAAAATATGCAAAGCAATAATTATAATTCGTCAATATATTAAAATAATTTTATAAGCGCGTGAGACAGCAAATGTACTACTTTATAAACGCTCGGTTACAATTACGTTGTAATACGGTCGCGATGTCGATTATTTGACTAGTCACGGAAATATATACTTCCTCGAGTTCGCGAGACAATTCTCCGAAAACGACCTTGTGTCTAAGCGTCAGCTGATCGACTGTGTATCTAACAATAAGCGTCAGCTGATCGACCGTATCTCTCATATTTCGCTTGCTTTTCGACCGTTGCGTCCTTCTCGCAATTTCTATTGTCAGTAAATATTTTGCGTGTATTTATCTCAGTTGTCGTCGTTATTCTAAAAATAATAAATTAAATTTCAGTTCTCTTACTACTTGCTTTCTCTTCACATACTAATCTAATAAAATCATACATCAATTCCAGAAACATAATTGTGCGAGTTTATATTGATCTATTCTCTTTTTCTACCTGCGACTCGTCTTGCCAAACGAATGCAAAAACAGTCGCACGAAATTCGTTGCTTTAAAAGGCTCTATTTATATTTGCGTCTGACTGTCTCTTGTTGTGTATGTCAAGTATGTGTGTTCATGTATCCGTGTGTATTTCTTATCGACAACGATTTTAAATGTGGCAACGCAATCGCCACAGCACTCTCCTGCTAGTGATGTACTTACATCACGAAACAGGTCGCTATAGAATGCACTAAATGCAATAAATATAATAAATATAATAAATGACACGTGCAAATAAATAAAGCAAAATATCACTGCGTTATGTTCGCTTTTTAAATGTCTTTCGACTCGCGTAAGACGAACGAGTGTCATAAAATATAATATAAGGTGTATAGAATCTAAAATATAAAACATAAAATATAAAATATAAAATGTAAAATGTAAAATATAAAGCGAAAAAGGATAGAATTGATCTATAATAATATCGTCCGGTAACAAAATATATACAATTTTCGTGGACTAATACTATACAAAAAAAAAAAACGAAACAATGATAACAAAGGAGTCGCTTTATCTTATCTTCTCCTTTCCCCTCGGCCTACTACTCGAACCTGTCGGGGAACCGCACTCTCCTGCCGGACCGCGTCATCATTCCTCGCTCGGGTCTGGCGCGTGTCTATAAATTGACTCGTGTCGTCCTTGCTCGCTCTGTTAATATCCTTGCTTGGCTGTAACAAGGCTTCGTCTCTTTTTTCGTCAGTATCTGTAAGAAAATAAGCTGGCTTTACCCGGTCTATGGATATCGTGCAGTCTTTGCCGTGCATACGCACGACAAACACTTTATCCATCTTCTTAATGACCGCATACGGTCCCTCATAAGGCTGTTGCAATAGCCTCTTCGGACCATCCCGGCGCACGAACACGTGTTTTGCCGTTGCCAAGTCTTTGAAAACAAAAGGTCGCCGATCACCGTGCCTGCTTCCCTGGACTGGGCGCACCTTGTCGAAATGGTCTCACAGCCCCGCTACGAAATCGGCGGCATTGTTCATACCGTCCGCCGGCTGACGATCCAAGAACTGGCCCGGAAGTCGCAGCGACTGTCCGTATACTAGATATGCCGTGGTCGCCTCCAGATCCTCTCTCCAGGCTGCTCGAATGCCCAACAAGACAGTGGATAGCTCCTTCGTCCACCGGTCATTCTCGCGGCATTTTATCGCCGCCTTGAGTTGGCGATGAAGTCGCTCCACCATGCCGTTTGCCTGCGGATGATAAGCCGTCGTCCTCAGATGACGCATTCCCGACAGCTCGCTCAACCGACAGAAAAGACAGGACTTGAACTGCCGTCCCTGGTCCGTGGTAATTCGCACCGGCTCTCCGAAACGGCAAATCCAGCCCTCGTAGAACGTCCTCGCCACGGTCTCCGCTTCCTGGTTCTCCATCGGAAATGCTTCCGGCCAACGTGTAAAACGGTCCACGCAAGTGAGGCAATATCGCCTCCCCTCGGAGACCGGCATTATCACAATATCTAAATGAACATGCTCAAATCTCTCGGAAGACAAATTAAATGCTCCCATCGGCGCTGAGACGTGGCGAGAAATCTTTGATTTTTGGCATGGTACACATGCACGAGCCCAGTCTCGACAGTCCACTCGCATCGACGGCCAAACGAAGCGCTGCGCCACGAGTTTGCCCGTCGCTTTGATGCCCGGATGAGTCAAATTATGCACTAAATTAAATGCTGCTCGGCGGAAAGGCTCGTCACAAACGGACGCGGAACCGCCGCCGTCGTCGTATCACAATATACCGCTACTCCAGTCCCAGGAACCTCAATCTTCTTTATCCTCAAGACTGATTCGTCATCTATGTACTTTTGGAGCTCCTCGTCGCTCTCTTGCGAGTCCGCGAGCGCAGCGAAGTCTAACGGCGTCTGTAACTCTTCTACTCTGGACAACGCATCCGCTACGACATTGTCATTACCGGATACGTGCCGTATATCCGTCTGAACTGCCCAATAAAATCTAAATTGCGAAACTGGCGTGGCGTACATTTCTCTGGCTTTCTCCTAAAAACGAACGTCAGAGGTTTGTGGTCAGGGTAAATTGCGAATGCTCGTGCCTCCAACATGTGCTGGAAATGTTTAACCGCCAGATACATGGCCAACAGCTCCCTATCATAGGCGCTGTATTTTGATTCAGCCGCACTTAGCTTTTTTGAAAAGAAAGCCAAGGGCTCCCAGCCATTGTCGCCTCGTTGTTGCAACGTCGCTCCGACGCTATGATCGAACGCGTCAGTGAACAACGCTAACTCGGCGTCGATCCTCGGGTGCGCCAGCAAGGTCGCCTGCGCCAGGCTCTCCTTGGATGCTTCAAACGCCTGCTGAGCCTGCGAAGTCCATGCCACCGGCGTTTTTCCTTTGATATTGTCATGCAGGAGGTCATGAAGCGGCGCCAACATCTCAGCAGCTCCCGGCAAGAATCTTCTGTAAAAATTCAACATGCCGAGATACCTACGTAGATTCTTCGCAGTCTTTGGCACTCCGTAATTCTTGATCGCTAGAACTCGTGCAGATAAAGGCCTCGTTCCATCCTCGTCCACCAAGTAGCCGAGGAACTCCACCTTCGGCTGGCCAAACACGCATTTGGTTGGATTGATTACTACACCGTATTTCTGTAGCCTCTTAAATAATGTTTCCAAATGTTCCAGGTGCTCTTCCGCAGTTGTCGACGCGACTAAAATGTCATCAATGTATACATAACAAAAATCAAGGCCGCGCAGCACCTCGTCCATGAATCTTTGGAATGTCTGCGCCGCGTTCCGCAAACCGAAAGACATATACGGGAACTCGAACATGCCGAACGGTGTCGTTATTGCTGTCTTCGGCACATTTTCCTCAGCCACCGGAATCTGGTGGTATGCTCTCACCAGGTCAATTGTCGTAAAAATATTTTTTCCTTGTAAGACTTGCGCGAAATCCTGAATGTGGCGCACAGGATAGCGATCAGGTATTGTTCGAGCGTTTAACGCCCGATAATCGCCACAAGGTCGCCATCCCTCGCCCTTTTTTGGAACGAGGTGCAGCGGTGACGACCAGCCGCTCTTTGACGGCCGCGCGACTCCAAGCTCGACCATTTTCTGAAATTCTTTTCGAGCTATCGTTAAACGCTCCGGCGCGAGTCTTCGTGGTCTGCTTGCTATGGGCGGTCCCGGTGCCGTCTCAATATAATGCCGCGTCTCATGTTTCACTTCACTTGGGCGCCCCTCCGGTCGCGTCATCTCTGGGTATTTCGTCATTAACACGTGATACGGTGTTTCCCCCGCGACCGTTTTTATGCCCGGAACGTTGCAGCAAACGCACTGACCGGGCATCGTCAAGCTCGTGACTTGATCGACTAATTTACCGCCTCTCAAATCCACGAGGAGTCCATAATGCGCCAAGAAGTCGGCTCCGATTATTGGTTTCGACACGTCGGCGACCACGAAACGCCAAACGAACGACCTTCTTAAACCGAGATTCAGTGATAATGTTTCTGTTCCGTATGTGTTGATTACTGTTCCGTTCGCGGCTGATAACTCGTATGTCGATTTCTGTCGCGGACCGCGAATCATTTTTCGTGGGAACACACATAGATCCGCTCCCGTGTCAACGAGGAACCTCACCTTTGTCCGTGCATCCGTCACGAACAGGCGACGTGTCGCATGGCCCGCCTCATCCGTCGCCATCAACGGTGGGCCACCGCATTTCCCGCTTGCGCCGAGCAAGGCGGCTCGCAGCGAGTTGCGTCCGGTCCAAATTTCCAATGAAAATAGCACAAACCATTGGATGCGTGTCCTCCGCGACTTCGCGAACGCGGTCGAGAACGTGCGCGACGTCTGTATCATCCGCGGTCTCTTCCCGGTCTCTCACTTCCTATTGACTCAATCGCCTTTTTAATAGTTGTTAATTGCTTTGCCATTTCATTTTGTAATGACAGACGCAACTGTGTCCATTGTAAATTAAATTTTGCCTCGAGTGCATCCTCCGTTCTTTGAACGGGCATTGGTCGAGCGGCCTCCGCGACATGGAACGCTGGAGCACGTGTAGCTTCGACGATAGCGTCCGCGATGTCCGCCAATTGTTCGATGGTATCGCCTGTCCGCGCGACTAAATGCGGCTGAATGTATGCTGGCAATCGACTTAACCAAATCGTACGTAATATGCCATCTCCGACCGCATTCCCGGCAAGCCCGCGATATTCAATCCGCCATATTCAATCCGACATTTTGAATTTTTAAATACTGATGTTAGATTCGAAATCAGCGACCTCACAATCCCCTAAATAACATGTCGCAAGTGAATCCGACTAATTTTTAAAAATTTTGTCCGCCATATTGGGGCCGCCATTTTGAATTTTTTAATACTGACGTCAGATTCGTGATCAGCGACCCCAAAAACTACCAAGCAACAAGTTTCAAATGAATTTGATTCATTTAAAAAAATGTCATCCGCCATATTGGATCCGCCATTTTTAGTTTTTGAAAACTGACTCCAGATTTGTGATCAGCGACCTCAAAAATGCTAGGATACCAAGTTTTATAAAAATCTATTAATTTTTTTCCATTTTGTAGGCATGGCTGTGATTTACATAAAATATTCACTTTTATCGCCATTTTGTGTCCGCCATCTAGAATTTTTTTTTTCCGGAACACCCGTATCTGATAGCAAATTCATTTTTGACACGATATTTGCGACTTTTAGAGATATTCTAATGCCATTACCAATAATAAAATTCAATGAATTGAAAATAAAACCAAGAAAATTCATGTTATTTTAAAAAAAAAAGTGTATAACTTTTTTATTTGAAACTTAAACAATTTTGGCATGCACTATTGGAAAGAGCAGTCCTTGGCCAATAAGAAATGGCTATCGCAGAATTTTTCCTACACAGTTTTAATGCTAAAATATTGTGTCAAACTTCATGAAGAAAATTTGTACATTTGGGCGTTAAAGGGTTAAAGGAGCACAGGAAATAAGAGATGATGTATAGCGGAATATAAGGTCACCAAAATAAAAATATGCAAAGCAATAATTATAATTCGTCAATATATTAAAATAATTTTATAAACGCGTGAGACAGCAAATGTACTACTTTATAAACGCTCGGTTACAATTACGTTGTAATACGGTCGCGATGTCGATTATTTGACTAGTCACGGAAATATATACTTCCTCGAGTTCGCGAGACAATTCTCCGAAAACGATCGTGTGTCTAAGCGTCAGCTGATCGACTGTGTATCTAACAATAAGCGTCAGCTGATCGACCGTATCTCACATATTTCGCTTGCTTTTCGACCGTTGCGTCCTTCTCGCAATTTCTATTGTCAGTAAATATTTTGCGTGTATTTATCTCAGTTGTCGTCGTTATTCTAAAAATAATAAATTAAATTTCAGTTCTCTTACTACTTGCTTTCCTTGTGAAACCCTTCACATACTAATCTAATAAAATCATACATCAATTCCAGAAACATAATTGTGCGAGTTTATATTGATCTATTCTCTTTTTCTACCTGCGACTCGTCTTGCCAAACGAATGCAAAAACAGTCGCACGAAATTCGTTGCTTTAAAAGGCTCTATTTATACTTGCGTCTGACTGTCTCTTGTTGTGTATGTCAAGTATGTGTGTTCATGTATCCGTGTGTATTTCTTATCGACAACAATTTTAAATGTGGCAACGCAATCGCCACAGCAGATTACAATTTTCTAGAAAAAATAACTGCGATATGTTATCCTTAGTGCACAAAATATAAAAGTCGTTGATTGAGATTTGATTCGAAATTTATACTAGCCCGTACAATGAAAAATAATTGCTTGTAATTCCAGAGTACCAATCTGTTAATGAATCGGAAAAAGAACATTACATTTAATTAATAAAATTAGATTAGAATTAAATAAGTATCCACCGTATTTTCAAAAACTCCATAACGATCACGATATGAACACACACATAATTATAAAATTATGTTGAAATGCTTTTTTCTTATGTGATTCTCAACAATACTAATCGAGGCTTGCTCTGATTAATGCGAATATTTAAATTAATCTTTGAAACACTATTACATTTTGTATTTGCACCTTAAGAACAATATCGCTTACTTTTCAGAATTAAACTGATAAATTCTTTTATCTATGCTATAATATAAACAACACAAAACCGGAAGTACAAACAAAAATTAGAAACTTGATGAAAGAAAGATTAAAGACTTTTCTAATGTAGGTAAACCATTTTCATAACCTTCATTTCAATCCATCGAAAGTCTTTTGAAAGCAAGCCGCCATGTTCTTTTTCCGAGTCATTAACAGATTAGTACTCTGGAATTACAAGCAATTATTTTTCATTGTACGGGCTAGTATAAATTTCGAATCAAATCTCAATAAACGGCTTTTATATTTTGTGCATTAAGGATAACATACCGCAGTTATTTTTTCTAGAAAATTGTAATCTGCAAATTGTAATGTTTTACTTACATATATGTATGTATGTTCATTTTGAACTTGCACCTTGAATAATATATCAGTTACTTTTCATGATAATATAT